GAAGAGCCCCACGTGGCCGTTGACCTCGCCCTTCCACCAGTCGGGGTCCTCCCTGCTGAGCACGGTGATGATCTGGCCCTTGCTGAAGGCCAGCTCGTCGTCGTTCTGCGCCGTGTAGTCGTACATGCCGATCACCTGGCACACTGAACACAGCACGCTCAGCACGCTCCTGCGGCCCAGGGACCCCCCCACACCACCCAGTGCCCACCCCAGGACACCCCAACACTCCCCCCTGTCCCTCAGAGCGTTGCCCAAACGCTCCTGGAGCTCTGGCAGCCTTGGGGCCGTGCCCACTGCCCTGGGGAGCCTGGGCAGTGCCAACCACCCTCTGGGGGAAGAACCTTGTGCTGAGCTCCAGCCTGAGCCTGCCCATGGGCACAAAACAGCCACAAACTCTGCACTTGGCTCAGCACAGCCCCGAGACACCATCCTGACCCCAGCCCAGCCTGCCCCCCTCCTGTGCCCCTCCTGGTGCTCAGCTCAGCCCTCACCAAACTGGCTCCAGGGGACTGAAAGGCCCAAAGAGTTTCATGGAATACACTGGATGGGGTTGGGAGGGACCTTAAAGCTAATCTTAGAGCTCTGGGCAACCTGTGCCAGGGCCTGCCCACCCTCCCAGCCAGCAATTCCTTCCCAATCTCCCATCTGTCCCTGCCCTCTGGCAGTGGGAAGCCATTCCCTGTGTCCTGTCCCTCCATGCCTTGTCCCCAGTCCCTCTCCAGCTCTCCTGGAGCCCCTTCAGGCCCTGCAAGGGGCTCTCAGCTCTCCCTGGAGCCTTCTCTCCTCCAGGTGAACCCCCCCAGTTCTCCCAGCCTGGCTCCACATGGGAACTTTGTTTGGAAATGTCCAATAGTGGAAGAAGATTGAAAAAATATTTAGGAGAAAGTCAAACCCTTGAAGGAGATTGGCCTTCTATTGACAGCTCTCTTTTGCTTTATAAATAATAGTTTTTTTCTACAAAAGCATCCATTTATAAAAAACCTGCATTTTGCATCTTCAACAACCTGCTGTGAAAAGCAGAATCCCAGAATGGTTTGGGTTGGGAGGGACCTCAAAGATCACCCAGTGCCACCCCTGCCCTGGGCAGGGACACCTTCCACCAGCCCAGGGTGCTCCAAGCCCCGTCCAACCTGGCCTGGAACATCCCACCAGGAGTGGTGGGTGGAAAATCTGGGAAACATTTGAAGTTCCACTATCTGAAGCTCCCTAATCCAAGAGAAAGCCCCTGGTGAGGTCCCTGTAGTGCCTGGCACACAAAAATCTTGGAAAACATGAGGGGAACAGGAAGCCTCCCAGGCCATCCCAGCTGCCCTTCAGCTGCTCCTGCTCCATCCCAAGAGAGCACCTTCCCTGGTTCTCTGAAGCACCAGGATTTTTATGGACAGGAATCATTTCCTCTGTTTCTCTCTGCTTTCTCTGGCCAAGCCACAGGACTGCTGGTGTTTTCCCACCAGACATAAGACTTCTATTACTGAGCCTTTCTGGCAGGTTCTCTCCATTAGATCAATTCTAAAATTTGCTTTTATTTTCACTCTTGTACTCGGCCAGAAACTTATATTTATCTGCCAAAAAGCTTTTCTCTCTTTTTTTTTTAATTATGATTTAATCAAGATTTCGATGTTCTGCAGGCAATGAAAGAAGGGTTTCAAACTTCATTCTGTAAAATTTACCACGTGGGATAAGTCCCAGACTGTCAAACCTGAAATAATTTCAAAAATACCTATAAATTCCCATCATGTTGCCTTGTAAAAGTTTGTGTCTCAATGCTGATTTACCATTTTAACCCCAAATTTGTGAAGGTCTGGGGAAGACTGATTTTCTGCATCTTTAGATTTCTATCAGAGGAGCCAGTGAGCACCACTTAGAGGAGCACAGAATCATGGAATATGATCCTTAGGGTCCTTTCCCAACTCAATCATTCCACAAGTCCATGAAAAAAATCTCATGGTCTGTTGCTCTTGTGTCGTTTCCTAAACCTCAAAACACAGAGAAAAGCTCCATCTCCACGGAGCACTTCCCACTGCCCCCGAGGAAACTGGGAAGGCTCTGTGGGAGAGGTGTCCCAGTGACAAAAAACCTCTGAAAACCCTACACTCACCCCCTCTAAAGCTTTAAAAACCACTCTGCTCCAATGAGCACAGGGAACTGTGCCCCTGGAGGTGCCACCTGGCTAATGGAGCAGGGGAGCTCCCCAGGAGGGGCAGGCAGAGCTCAGGGCAGGGAAAGGCTCCCCAGCAGCACCTGAGATGGGCAGGA